CACAATGGCGCCTAGTTAAGACAAATTGGTCCCACCAAATAATTGCATAGTCAATGAACGCTTCGACGGCAAGCTTCACCTTCTTCTTTTCGAAATAGTAATGACAATCGAATACGATCTCAAGCTTTCTTTCCCATTTAATGTACGCATCAGGATTACTCTTACCTTGGAAATATGGTATTGTCAGCTTGATTGGGCTGAAGTTTTTGATCTACGCCATCTCTTTCTTGACCTTGCCTCGATCTATCCAATCCGGACCCTCGTTCCATAATCTCCTTCTTTGATGTGCAAGAAATCACACCAAAACTTCCATCATCAACAACCTCCTTATTACGTTGAGGTAAAACTGGTTCGTGAACATCACGTCGTATGCATGGCCCTTGAACATGTTGATCCAACTTAATGCATTTCGGCTGGATCCACATCAAGTCGGTAATCTCATTAAGATCGTTCGATCTATGGTACTAGAGGTATTCGTCTTCTTTCAACTTGGCGAACAATAGTTGCAATTGAGATCTCCCAAATAATTTGCTGAAATTTTATGTGCTGAATAACATTGTAAACTGTCTTCATACGAGTTACATTGGACGGGTCATTTTGCTTCAATAGTCTTAGAATTGCCCTTGGTTTCACCATTGTTTTCTTCAAAGTTTGAACAAGTGAAGTCTCTTCCTTTGATAGTCTTCCAGCATAAGAGTGTCCTTGCAAGTTTTAACCAAGCTGTGGTTGTGAATACCACTGTGAATAGTCAATTCCCACTCAACATTTTCATCTTCCTTGCCTTCTTTTGTCCCCTTTAATTTAAACGGATAATTTTATTTCTTAGAACCGGTGCTCCTTTTTCCCGGTCTTTGATCATCTTCACAGGGCACCTTCCTGCCAGCATAAAGGCTCTCACGCTAACAACCAACAATCACATACTGTCTCCTACGTTCTTTCTCCCCGTCATTCAAACCCGCAATCATCATTACCATTCCCATTCGTGTAGATACTTCACGAACCCATTCCAATAAAAACTTCTTTTGTTGGGAATTTTTCTGACGTGGTAAACGCAAGGGAGCAATCGATCTACACAAAAGTGGAGAGCTTAAGTAAATTTGTAACATACAAGATTAGACAGGTAACTGTCGAATTACAGTGGATTTTCGACATCAAAGTGTCAAAAATTCATTGGAATTCGACACTTAGTTGTCGAAAATTAAGTTTTAAAATTAATGCGTATTTTAGCATTTTCGTGTCGAAAGTTGGTTTTTAACATTCATTCCTACAGTACAATTTTCGACAAGTGTCGAATTCCAATGAATTTTCGACATTTTGATGTCGAAAATTCACTGTAATTCGACACTTACATGTCGAGATTCACAATATCTATTATTATTATATTCGACACATACATGTCGAAAAACGTACACATTTTCGACCTATATGTGTCGAAAATGGATGGCGGGTTAAAAAAAACTTCAAAATCGACTTTTAAGCTAAAAAAAAGACATGAATACATACCTTAACGGGTTCTCCTTGCCGTAAACTACTATTTTATTGTCATTTGACTCCTTTTGCAAGTTGTGTAAGGTTTTGATTTCATTAGTTTTGAGATTTTTTAAGAGGGTTTGTTGGTAGGAAGAAGAAGGAGGGGAGTTTGAGGGGGAATTGTGTGTTTGATATTGAAGAAAGAAAAATGAGATTTGTAATATTTTTTTGGTTTTGATTTTTAATTAAGGGTATTAATCTCATTAACTATTTACTATCTAATTTTTATTTTTGTGGTATTGAAGTAAGAAAAATCTGGTATTAGTTCTAGACACCCCCTAAAAATAAAAGTTTAGGACTATGTCGAAGTAATAAATTGAACAAATATTTAGATTACATTTTTTAAAGGGTTAATGGCAAAGATGCCCATGACAAAGCCAATCAATTAAAAAAGAGATTTCCAACTTTTTTGTCTTTCAAATATTTCCAGCTCATTCAAACTTATTTGCAAATAAGGAAAATTCTTTAATATATACCAAAATTACCCTAAATTCCTTGAAACTCAATTCAACTCCAATTTCATGATTTACACCCCAATTTAGCCCAATTTCACCAATTAACCAATTTTGACCCTAATTTCAATTTTTACCCGCCGCCACCGGAGACCGCCGGTCTCCGACGTTGACTTTTCTTTTTTTGTTTTGAAAACTTTTTTTTTTCTAATTTTTTTTCCGGCCAGTCAACCGCCGTTGACCGCCTCCGGCATCGACTTTTTTTTTTTTTTTTTTTTTTAATTTTGTGTTTTAAAAAAAAATATATTTTAATTAATATTACTGTATTGGCTGCTAAATAACTGTCTCCAGCAGTTATTTTGTGTCTGGGATAGTAATATTAGTAATATTACTGTTCGGGAAAATAATATACATAATATTACTGTCTGAGGCAGTAATATTAATTAAAATAATTTTTTCTAAGAAAAAACAAAATTTCAAAAAAAAAAAGTGAACGCTAGAGACCGGCGGTTGACTGGCCCGTAAAGAAATTTCACAAAAAAAAAAAAAAAAAAGTCAACGCCGGAATCTGGCAGGAAATTTTTTTTTTCAGAAAAATAATTATTTTCTGAAAAAAAATAAAAAATTCAAAAAATTATTAAAATGGGGGTTAATGCGATATATTTATTTAAATCTGGGGTCAATGTATAATATTAAGGGAGTTAGAGTATAATGGATGGAATTGATAAAAATTATGTTATGAAGGGTATTTTAGACTAAAGACATGGGAATGAGTTTATTTGAAAGACCTTTTTTTTTTTTTTTTTTTTTTTTTTTTTTTTTTTTTTACCAATATACATTTAAATCCCTTGTCATGTTTCTTTTTGCCATTTACCTTTTTTTAAAAGTAAATTCAAAATTCATTTACAAGGGGAAGTAGGAGAGGGGGACTCAAACGGGGTATCAACTCTCAAATTACTTATTTAATTGGATATAATTCGGGTTGAGACAGAGTAGCTACTCAAAGACGGTTCATTTACTTTTCAGATATCATACATTGGGAAAATAACACTTTTTGTCCCTCATGTTTCACAAAATTTCACTTTTGGTCCCCGCTATTCCAAAGTGAATAAAATACACATCAAAAGTTCAAAGTTAAACACATTTGGTCCCTCCGTCACATGCCCGTTCACATCTGACGGAAAAATAATATTTTGGGTGCAAAAATTGAAATTTAAAATTATCTTGGGATTAAAAAAGAATATAATTTTATCTATTATACTTCATTTTTTTACAGATTTTTTAGAGAAATCAGAAATCTATAATTTATTTGAGCATACTAATTTATATCTAATTTTTTTAATTTTTCAATACATTTACTTAGTTGTAGTTTAAGTTTAGTAACTTTTTAATTTTTCAAACCGAAGAAGAACCCATTCTGGCCAACTATTTGCACACCGAAGAAGAATCCAAACTTGTCTTCACCTGAAACCTCCTCTTCCAAGGCGGCGGGTTTCGTTAGATGCTTCAAAAGTGACGGCGAAACTTGGGGCAGCGATGACTTCTCAAATCCAATCGCATCCCCGTTTGGCTCTCAGCTTACCCTCACGTTTCTTGGAGTATTTTTGCTTTCCTAACATGGATTTTTTCTTCCGAAACTTGGAGAGGAGATCTTCAAACTTTAACGAGGACATTGTTAGGTGCCCATTTTAGATGTAAAAGGGTTTTTTTTTTTCCTCAAAAATAAAAAAAAAAAGTTACTAAACTTAAACTACAACTAAATAAACTAAATTGTATTGAAAATTATAAAATAGTTACAAATTAGATAAGAATTAATATGCTCAAATAAACTATAGATTTAAAAAAAAAAGATATGTAAAGTAAACAAAGATAAAATCAATAGTTCAAATTATAATCTTTTCTAACCTCAAAACAATTTTAAATTTCAATATTAACCGCGAAATAGTGTTTTCGGTTAGATGTGAACGGGCATGTTACGGAAGGGACCAAATATATTTAAAATTGAATTTTTAATGCGTATTTTGTTCACTTTAGAAACAACAGGGACCAAAAGTGAAATTGGGTGAAAAATATAATTCTCTCTACATTAATTGATACAAACTTGTCCAGCCCGCCCGCCCACAGTCAACATTCGATTCGCCCAAATAAGGTCGGGTCGGGTCGAATCGGCTTCCATAGCAGCTGTTCTAAGGCCATCTCCAACAGTTGTTTAAAAATCGATTGTCTATATCTATAATTTAAGAGGCGAACAGTGTTATGCATCATCACTTTTAACAGCACACTCCAACAACATTATTTATATTTTACATAATTATCATACTTTATTATTTTACAACATTTTATTTTACAATAATTTTTAATAAAAGAATAATATTTTAATATCTCTTTGAGCATATCTGTAAAACATCACTGGAATCCATCTGCATATGGAATATAAATATTTTCATCACTATTTATTTACTTAAGATATTGTTTGGAATTAAAATATATTGAAAAGGAAATTTTAATGTTATATATACGTATATTAAAAGAATTAAAAGTTATTTTATTAATAATAACAATTATACATTGAAACATATTGTGTGAAAATAATAATTGTAAATTTAATTGTTTTTAAAAATAGCATCAATGGACCAAACAATTAGTCAATAACTCTTTTTTATAAAAAAAAAACAATACGCACTAAATACATTACTTAAGTTAACATATTGTTTCTACTTTTCTAGGGTTTTCTCCATATCTCAGTATTTCTCCAACAGAAGAGAGGCAGAAAACCAGAAGCAGGGAAACAGGACAGGGGCAAAGGAAAAATAAAATTAAAAAGAGGAAAATTTATGGCAACTCTCATTCAATAGAGGAGTGGTGGTACATAACTAGTTCTACCATCTTCCATTGAGGGGCTCAAATTTCATGTAAGTTGTTTACCTCTTTAAAAAAATTCGGATACAGGTGTTTTTTCTTTTCAGTTATGATTTTTGATGGAAACCAAATACCACAATTTATAGAGTTGATTGGTGTTAAATTTTTTTACAGTGGTGGTTGATGAATAAAATTGGCAGTTGGGGATTATGACTTTATTATTCTTTATTTTTGCACAATTTGTTAAATTGTAATTTTGGTTTCTCAATTTTGAATATGCAAAGTTGAAATCTAACAAATTTTGCCTTTTTCCATTTTGTTGTTGGAGATGTGATTTGGGGTTGAAATTGTGCAAATTGTGCAAATTATAGGTATGCATGATGCTGTTGGAGTTGCTCTATGCTCTGCTACTCCACCCACTGTAAAATCGTGGAATTCGCAGGCTAGGGTTTTCACTTTTGAACGGAGACTCTTTCTCTCTGGTAACGAACGCTCTTCTTCTTCCCTAGTTGTTTTTGCCAATTCCGTTTTCTGTAATTCCTCTTCGGCGTTATGCCGCTGCACTTTTGCTGCGATATTGCTTGCCATCAATCAACATTATGCGAATGATGATAACTGTTATTTATTTGTATTAATCTATATCATGTTATTTCCTTCACCTCTTCCCAGCAGGCACGCTTCAATTTCAATTTGTTGGTTGCTTTTTTTTTTTTTCCTTAATTTTTTTTTAAATTTTATTGTATGCAAAACAAAATTTCCGTAAAATCTGCAATTAATCAAAACCAATCGAAATATTATCTGTACTAAACCGAACCGAAGCGAACCACCTCTAGTTTGATTCGGTATTCAGCATGTATATGATGTTTCATGCCAAAATTTTGGTTTACCGAATTTCCGATACAGTTCGGTGCGATTTTACCCCGAGTTCTACGCATCAATTTTTATTTAAGGAACTGTTGTATGTTTTGTTAATTATGTTTGAAAAAATTATGTTGGCCTCCTGACAGCTTGTATTTTCTATCATTTGTTTTGCATGGAAATGGTATATAAATGTGATTGCTATTCTTTATGATTGGTCTCTGCCAGCTTGGGTTTTTTATTTTATTATTGTTGTCTGATTGCAGTTCGTAAGCATCTATAATTATTCTGGTCTGATTGAAGAAATTGTGAAGGCGGCGTCTTCTTACTTCAAGAAGGTTGGATACAACCCAGACAAAATTCCATTTGTCCCCGTTTCTGGTTTCGAGGGAGATAACATGATTGAGAGATCAACCAACTTCGACTGGTACAAGGCCCCAACTCTTCTTGGGGCTCTCGACTCAATCTCTGATCCAAACTCAGCTGATAAACTATTGGAGAATTTCACGGTGGACAGCTTTACATACTCAGTTGCACAAGTTAGAGCAACGTTTTATCCAAAATTTGAAAATGACAAGTCTGATCAAGAGGTAAGCTATCCCCATCCAAGTTTTGTTTTCGGACAAAAGTACGTCATAATATAATACTGTTAACCTTAGATTACTTTTCCCGTTAATTATTAAACACACTTAAACATTCATGGTTTTAAGGGAACTTTAGGATTTTCATGATTTATGTGGCACGGTTATGTAGGTGTCATTAAAAGTTACATTGAGCCAACTGTAATTGTTCAGTACTCAGTTAATATAATGACAGTTAATTTCTAAGATGTACTCGGTCAACCCTTTTGGTATGCCATTCACGCAGGTTAGGACAAGAATGGCAGAGATGGTTTCGAAAGGCTTAGCTACATTGGAGGTAGGCCATTGACCTTTCGTTTCAAACTTTCTCTGTGAAAGAGTTTTTGGTTATATTATGTTGACTCCCGTCTTCTCATTCCCTCCATTTGCACTCACTCAGATTAGTTGATTATTTCCTCTATCGTACTCAACTTTGTAGCCTCGCTCTTTTAAGCTATTGGTTTCTGCAACATCGATAAATCAATAGGTTTCCCTGAAGCATTCTGGATCACTTTTCATGTATGCTGGGCACGAGGGAGGAGCATATGCGAAGAATAGCTATGGGAATATGTAAGTCGATTGTTGATTGTCCTTCTCATACGTCACTTCCATTTTTCTATTAGTCTAACATTTGTATTATTTATTGATTTAATATAGCTGCTTGACACCGAGTTCAAAGTTAACAAGTTTTTATTATTGAGTTATGATGGAGCTAGCCTTTGAAATGTTTCTTCTGTAGCTTAGTATTTCCATTAGTGATGATAATCCGGTAATTAACTGACAAGTATTGAACCTGTTTTTAAGAAATTTTATTTACATGGGGTGTTACTTTTTTCATGCATCAGTCGCTCTTCCTATTTAACTTTGTACGGAATAAATCTAAGTCTTTTCTATTAGGCATGAATCATCACCTTGGCTTCGTCTTTAATTGAGATTACCAATTGGAATCAATCTTTCATCATTATGATGGTCGGCAGTTCTGCTAATGGCTGCTTCAAGTATTGCTTCTCGTATATTAGAAAATAAGACTATGTCTAACCAAAACCACTTCCTTGCATTGAAGCAACTTTCAGGCTTTAGTAGTAGCCAGCTGCTATTGAGTACATGAAGAGGGTGGGTGTTGCAAACCTGAACTTCTGCATATCATAAAGAGGGTGGTTGCCTTAAACTATTTGCTCTGGTGGGAATGAACCTCTTTCAGGCATGCATATATCTGAAGTTCTGAACCACTACTTGCATACGGTCATTACACACCAGAAATTAGAAAAAAGTAGTTGTTTTCAGCTCCAATGTGTCTTTATCCTCTTAATTGCATTTACTTCATTATGTTTTATGTTTTCTGAATTCCATGAATATACCACAGTTATACTGCCGTTGGCGTCTTTGTACTTGGGCGCATGTTTCGTGAAGCATGGGGTTCGCAGTGCAGCAAGAAGCAAGCCGAGTTCAATAAGTTCCTTGAGGTAAATCTAGACTGGGTAGTTATGGTTAAATCACGTTAAATTGATGAACGTTTGCATTTCTTCTGTTTGACTAACAGTCGTGACATTGAGATATTTAACTTGGTTGGAAGTTAGGAAGTTATATTTAATTTGCTTTTTATAAATATGAGCATGAACAAAGATTTCTAAAGCGCACGTGCATGCCTGCATATCCTTATTCCAGGGGGGTTTCATTGTGATTTAACATTACTAATTCGTTCTATTCAGATTAACCGCATGTGCATATCAATGGAACTGGTCACTGCTGTATTAGGAGACCACGGGCAACGTCCTCGTGAGGATTATGGTGAGTGGATTACGATATAAGCTTCTGAAACCGATGTCCTCTTTTGCTTTTTCGTTTGTGTATCTGCAATTTCCTGAAACTAATCATAAGATCTTTTCATCTCACATAATTTTCAAATTTGTTCCGGTTGCTGATCATCCTCTTTTTCTATTTTTTGCAGTTGTCGTGACTGCAGTCACCGATTTGGGTTGTGGAAAACCAAAATTTTATTCAACTCCTGAAGTAATAGCTTTTTGTAGGAAATGGCGGCTACCAACCAATCATGTCTGGTTGTTCTCAACAAGGTGATTTTTTTTTTTTCATTTTAATAAATCCTTGAGCGCTAAGACATATTTAGATGGTAACATATCATTCCATATGCTTGTTCTACTTATGTGCTTGTAAGTTCTTTGAATACTTGTATGCCTTTAAATCCTCGGGTTCAGCATAATGTATTAAAAAAGGGTCTCTGTTTCAGGAAGTCTGTGATTTCATTTTTTGCTGCTTATGATGCACTCTGTGATGAAGGCACGGCGACAACTGTATGTAAGGCTCTTGATGAAGTTGCTGATGTATCTATTCCTGGTAAGATTTATTTGAGGTTAAAAATGAAGCCTTTCCCAAATAAATGTGGACATTTTGGTGCATTGAAAGATCACATGTAGTCGTTTATTGGTTCTTGAGTGAATTTTATGGGGTTTGATATGCTGAAGTGTGGCCCTGACTCCGTGATGTTTAGTTGTTCTTTGGGTTCTTCCGTCTTCATAACTTTCTTTAATACCATTCAATTGAACGCCTCTTCCCTGCGTATCTTCTGTTTTATTCCCTTGGTCCTCTCCGTTATTTATTATGGCGTTTGAATTGTTCAGTTCGTATCTCCTTGTTATTTGCTTGCACTGGTTTTTTTTACATTCTGAACTGCTTTATATGTTTCATATGCACACTTATTAAAAGTAGTTTCTTGCAAAGGCTGGCTAACACCCCCCCCCCCCCCCTCTCTTACACGCAGGATCTAAAGATCACATAAAGGTGCAGGGTGAAATCTTGGAAGGTCTAGTTGCTCGTATAGTAAGCCGTGAGAGCTCAGAACATATGGAGCAGGTCTTGAGAGACTACCCCCTACCACCTTCGGAGGGAGGTAATAATGTTTTGTTTAGTGTAGGTTTGTTTTCTACTGCGAGTTTCTGCTATACCTGTCGGTCTCGTAAAAGTTGGTTCACTGTCGAAGCATAATCCAAAGGGCCCAGAAATTAGCAAAAACTAATGCTGAATTTTGAGTCATTGTCATATCGACTTCTACGCTTATTGTACTGCAGTTGGCGAGAGTCGATTTTTGTATTTCTTGGTACCAAGTCATTTGAAAGATAAGATACAAGTCAAAGATTTAGGATTTTTTTCACCGATCTACTTTCTGGGCCTGATTGGTCTCACCATGGATTATGTCTTGATTCTGTTACTTTGTATTCGCAAATTGTGTATCAGATAACCTGGGATCCAGCCTGCGGGAAATATGGGCTGAAAATAGAAGCGACGAGAAGCAGGTGGCTCTGATATTTCTTCTGTGAAGATACTGTAATTGGAGTTGTTCATGTTCTTTATTTTGTTTGGTTGTGATTTACAGCAAATCAAGGCACTTCTTGAGAGTGTCGATGCCTCTTTCTTACCAAATTATATGGATTGGTTTGGAAATGATGTCGCTGATGGTCATTCAAGAAATGCAGATAGATCAGTTGTGTCTAAGTTTCTGCAAGCGCTCCCAGCAGATTTTTCCACTACCAAATTACAGGTAGGCTGTGCTCTTGTTTACTATTATTGTGTCGACTATGAGAGATGTGGAGGTTGAAAATTTTGGAAAAGGTGCATGGTATTTGCTTGTGCAAAGCTATGGATTCTTAAATTTTCACCTATTGATACGGGTTATAGGAAAATGCAGCAATTCTTGATCGGATAGCTGATGGTTGTCCTTGATGGCTTTCAAACAAAACTATTGCATTCTACTTGGTAGACAAGATGATCGTGTTTTGGTGTGCTCTAGTATCTTGATATGTATGTTTACTCTAGTTCAATGATATTATCGTGATTAACCTTTTGCTTCAGGAAATGGTTCGTCTAATGACGGAAAAGCGCTTCCCTGCTGCTTTTAAGTGTTACCATAATTTTCATAAGATCAACTCTGTATCAAGCGACAGTCTTCATTTTAAGATGGTCATCCATGTACACAGTGATTCAGCTTTTAGACGGTACCAGGAAGAGATGAGGTCTGCTTTTCAATATTATATGCTTTGATCCATTCATATAAATCATAATCATCCTTTGGATTTTCATTTGGGAATATGGTATATTGCAGGCACAATCCAGGACTATGGCCACTGTATCGAGGTATATAATTCATATTGTAATGCAAACAGTGTATCTCTGCATTGATGTGCTTACTGTTCTTGATAGTATGTATATAGAGCAACATATGAACTATACATCTTTTGTCAAATAAAACTACCAAGTCAAGGCCTTGGCTTGATGCATTGGTTTATAAGATATGGGACATGTCTGAAGAACCAAGGGGGTGCGGATTGTGTGTTTGTTATACCTTTTGAAACCATAGTGATATTTGTTTTAAAACTGCAATGTGGATAATGTCAAAGTCCGTCTATATCTATGTGTGTAACCCTTTGCAGAAGTATTGGGGACTCAAAACAATTTTTATACGAATGGGGAAGTAAGGGAGGGGTAGGGTTCGAACCCTAGACCTTCACCCTAGTAATCATGGCTAGTTACCAACTCGGGTTGGTTTTATATTGTTATATAATTATTAAAGAATGCTAAAAAATTCCAAACGCGTTGCTTTAGACCCTTTTATTTGGTGATTAGTGTAAAATTGAATCTGATTAGGATGACCCTTGGCCCGACTGCCTGGGACTTATTTTGACGACGTCAGGAAGTTAGTTATGCTCGAATTCCTTCAGATGCAATCTTTCTTGCTTTCCCAGGGTTTTTTGTGGACGTGAACTTATTCAAGAATAAGAAGGGGATAGCAGGGGAATCCTCCCAGGAAATTAATTATGGGAGTGAGACAAATGCAAAAGATGGTTTGGCTAATGAAGATGCTAACCTGATGGTCAAGTTGAAATTTCTCACGTACAAGGTTTGTGATACTGTCTTGCATTCATCCATTTCCGAGTTATTGAATAGATACGTGGTTGCTTTTCTTCATTTAGAAAGTGATGAATTTTGCTCCTAATTTTTTGAATATTCAGATCCGGACCTTTTTAATCCGGAATGGCTTGCCAGTTCTTTTTAAACAAGGTGAAGCTGCATACAAGGCCTACTACCTGAGGTTGGTTGGTTTTGCCTTCTTAACGTATTTTATATCTGCAATTTCACAGAAATTCTATTAATGAATATGGCAGCAGGTATATATAAGTTGAAAGACCTGAAAGATTTTCTTTCCACATTTGACTAGCTTTCTTGTGCATTGTTTCGAAGAATGATTATTGTCCTCGTTCTCGGAGTATATAAGTAAACTTTATGCTCTGTTCTTGTGAATTTTATGTTATAAAGCATGATTTGTTGAAAATGATTAGATAATCAAGGACCAAAGGTTATTATGGTCTTCTAAACAAAGTAGTGGCATTGTCACTACTTTGTGGCTCTTCTGCGGTATCCTGACTGTTATGTGGCCATTCAGGCAAATGAAGATATGGAATACTTCAGCTGCAAAACAAAGAGAGCTAAGCAGGATGCTGGATGACTGGTATTTCTGGAATTTTTTTTTAATTACTTTGAAGTTGTAATCCTGTATTTGCTTATCTTTTTTCCCTCTGTCAAGGGCTGTATACATTCATGAAACATATGGACACGAACAGCTGTCTTCATTCTCGTACCTAAGCGAAGCTGAACCATTCCTAGAACAGTACGCAAAGCGCAGTCCAAAAACTCAGGCTTTGATTGGATCTGCTGGAAGTCTCATGAGAGATCTCGCCATCATTGGTGGAAGCAGAGGCGAAGAGAGAGGTATCATACCTTCTAGTCCGACTCCGATGGTGAAGAAAGTCATTAGGAAGGACGAGGGACTCATTGTCTTCTTTCCAGGTAAGTGTTGTGTTGATTTCCTGCACTCTTCCTGTATATATTGTTGTAGTTTCAGTTTACTTATTTGCTCTGCTGAGAATATTTCGATATCCAGCATGGTATTCATTAAATGCTTTGAGAAAATTAGCTAGCTCTAATAGATTTGTATGCCTGTTAAACTGAGTTGAAAAGGGGTCATCATCTTTATGATATTTGCCAAGTTTTGTTTTTATTTTTTACGAAACTTGTGTATTACCTGACCTGCTTCACTAATCGCCACTTTAGGAATACCTGGTTGTGCAAAGTCAGCACTTTGTGAAGAGATAATGAGTGCACCTGGAGTACTTGGTGACGATCGTCCAGTCCATCATTTGATGGGCGATCTGTTCCAAGGTAGTGTGTGATCTGAACAACATTCATTCTCTCTTTTTGCCTTGTATATTCAATTTACTTATTTGTAACATGACAGGAAAATATTGGGGGATGGTTGCCGAAGAATGCTGCAAGGAACCTTATTCTGTTATCCTTGCAGACAAGAATGCTCCCAATAGAGGAGTTTGGAGACAGGTGATATTTTTATTCTTTTATTCTTAAGCTTTAATAACAACTGCATAATTCGTCTATTTTTATCTTAGGGAACCCAAAAATTGTTGACAACAGTAGCATATCATGTAATAACCGTGAAAGAAAATCTAGGGTTTGATTCCGGCATGTAAGATGCAACTGTGATGCATGGGCAAATTAATTGGCCTTTTACACGCAGTATTATTCCGTTCAAATTCCTTAATCTCAATAAGTTTTTGGTGGTGGCCTAATTTGTCTGCTATGGAAATCTCTGCAGATTGAGGACATGTGTCGTCGCACGAAGGCATCTGCAATTCCAGTTGTACCTGATTCAGAAGGTCAGTAGATTGTTATGACCTTTTTAGAGAGTAGAGCATTTTAAGTGAGACATTAATCATTATATTGTTGAACACGGTTTGATTGTTTGCTATTTGCATCACGTTTTTACTTAGAAGAAATGATATACATTGCTCTACTTTTTCATCATCATCTATTTTCATGCTCTTGTTAAGTATCATCTTTGTATTATCTTGAGGAATATGTATTGACTACCTATAATTAAGCCGTGTGCATATCCAACGTTTGTTGTAAATATTCCATTTTCATTGAACGTTACGTCATCGTTGCTTATAGTGTTTTCGTATGTTGTTTATCGGTCTACTTCCTCCTTTGCAAATATGCAGGGACTGAATCAAATCCGTTCTCACTCGATGCTCTAGCTGTTTTCATGTTCCGAGTGCTTCATCGTGCTAATCACCCAGTAATAATCAATTTAGCTACCCCTATCTTTTGCTATTCCCCCCTGGCTTTATTCTCAATTAATTTTTTCCTTTGTATTTTCAAGAGAAATCTTGACAAGTCATCTCCACATGCTGGTTACGTGTTGTTAAAGTTCTACGATCTATATCACGGCAAGGTACTATTTCTTTTTTGAAGTTGCAAGTCATATGATTGTGTCTCTTGAATTTTTTTTTCTCACGATGCCCGTTTCCTACAAATCTCCAGAATCGCAACGAGTATGAGGCTGAGCTAATAGAGCGTTTTGGTTCACTCGTGAAGATGCCCTTATTGGAACCCAACAGGTCTGTGAAGTATTCATATGATGGATACACACATTAATTTACCTAATGTGACCTCTCGACTATTCACATGTATTTTATGTATGGGAATTGCTTTTTGCGGTTTGAAAATTGCTATTTGCGGTTTCTAACAAAACCCCCCAAAAAAACACTTTATTTCACTAAAACCCCAAAACTTTCCAAAAAAATCCAAAAACACCCCCCAAAACGCGTCAACGCCCAACTTGGGCGCCCATTCATGCAGTGCACGCCCAAGTTGGGTGTGCAATCTGCATTTGGGCGCCCGAGTTGGGCGTCTAGTGCAAAAAAAAAAAATTTTTTTTTTTTTTTTTTTTTAAAATGTTCGAACGCCCAAGGCGTGTACGAACGCCCGGAACGGGCGTTCGTACACGCCTTGGGCGCCCATCTTGCGCGTTCGAACATTTTTTTGCGAAAAAAAAAGCCCTACAAATTGATTTGTAGGGCTTTTTAACATGAAATTGGTTCCGTAATCGACCTACCCAATGCATGTTACACATAAAAGAGTCGAAATTACATCAAAAAATCGAAGCCCAACCCTTCTTCAAGCTTGATTTCGAATTTTCGATTTTTTTTTTTTTTTTTTTGCTATTTGCAGTTTTGGGGGGTTTTTTGATATTTTTAAAAGTTTTGGGGGGTTTTGTTATAAACCGCGAATAGCAATTTTGTGACCGCAAATAGCATTTTCGTTTATGTATATATATTATTATCTTTTGTCTTTTCTGAGACTTACAGCTCTTTCCGTGCTTTTTGCATGTGAAGAGCTCCTCTGCCTGAATGTATAAGGTCTACTTTGCAGAAAGGATTGGATCTGTATGGAAGGTACTCACTGCCCCATTATACGACTCCTTGTGCATCAAGTGCGGGATTGTGTATTTTTTTGTAGTTGATTTAGCTTCACTCTGCTTCTATACCTTTCATGTAGATTGAAACCCACCCGAGACGCATATTCCGAGTGGCCTGAATGGGAGACTCAATTGCGCGAGACTCTGCTTCAAAATGTCGAATATCTGAATTCTATTCAGGTCAGTTTTGCGGCTGTTGATAAATAATTAGGTGAATTTCGTTGTCTTTCAGTACCATTACTTTGTTGTTGGGACTAAACTTCAAGCCGCCTTAGCACCATTTTGCAGAAAATATAACTTCCCTTTTTTACGGCCATTGACCAAAAACCATATGGTCGGGGTCTAATTGCAGGGATCGCTCTCTATTTTAACTGGAGAATTACTGCAAATATTAGTTCATTAAATAGCAGTTCCATATATCCCTATTGAAGTTTGCCGTTCTTTCTTCGTAAATTACATGACTCGATTAGATAAGAATATTTACGCAAAACACTGCCGCTGAAATGTACTGTCCGACTTATTTGTAATGTCAAATCCACTATCAGCATTGCCAATGACAAAGTCGGTTATCCAGTTTTATGTCCTTAATATTAATTTCTTGTCTTATTCCACATCAGAAAAAAAGATTTACTTTTTGCCCCGTCAACTAGTAGTGTTAATCTCTGCACTCTGTATTTCCAGGTCCCGTTTGAATCTTCTGTCAAAAGCGTTCTCAAACAACTTAAAGCAATTGCTAAGGGAGAATACGCAACACCTAGTGCTGAAAAACGGAGCTTTGGGACCGTTGCCTATGCTGCTGTAAATTTGCCGGTTTCAGCATTCCTAGATCTCCTTGATAACGTAAGTCAATTTCAATATATTTTAATTCACAAGTGTTTTCCTTTCTAATTAAATATCTAGCTTTAGATTAAAGCCACGTTTTCTTTTTATTATCATGGATGAGACAGTTAGGTATGCAGGATCCTAAAGTCGAAGGTTTCCTCAAGGACAAGGATTTGAGAAGCAGTCTTACGAAAGCCCATTTGACGCTTGCTCATAAGAGAAGTCATGGCGTAACCGCGGTAGCCAATTACGGACCGTATGTCAACCAAAATGTACCAATCAGTATGCATGCACTTTTATTCTCGGAAAAATCGGCAGCACTCGAAGCTGAACCTGGTGTGGTTGATGGGGAGAAGTTAAGTTCGAAAAATGAATGGCCACATGTGACATTATGGACTGCTGAGGGAGTTTCAGCCAAAGAAGCAAATGTGTTGCCTCGTTTACTTGCCGAAGGGAAGGCTACGCGGGTCGAGATCAACCCACCCATCACAATAACCGGTGTTCTAGAGTTCTTTTGAATTTTGTTTTGGTGTAGGGTTAGCTCTTCTCATTGTTGATTTCAATTTTGTTTCTTTGTTCATGTTTAAGTTACATACAGTTATATCATTAAGGATTTTATTCAAGTTTGCATTACTATGGTTTAAGTCAATAAATAAAGGGGTTTTTGCGTATAAGTTTTTGACCAACCATCTTTATTATTATAGGTTCAGGGGCTATATCTCTTTCGCCAATAAGTCCATCCCTTTAATATATATTATAAAATTTTTGACCAACCATCTTTATTATTATAGGTTCAGGGGCTATATCTCTTTCGCCAATAAGTCCATCCCTTTAATATATATTATAAATAAGGGGACTTAAGATGTGCATCCATAGTGAGAAACCTTATTAGATGATTAGCCCAAGCTCAAAAAAAGATTTGCTAATATACCCTTACGTTGAATTAACGATGTTAAATGAATTGTCTTTCAAAAGAATCTTCTGATTTCTACTTTACCAATTATCCCAAATAACCACCCAAATCTTATTTCTTCAATGATTATGCTTCCACAGCGGTGCGAAAAAAACCAGTGACAAGTTGATACAAGACGAAGAAGAATCCACTCAAAACCTTTCGTTATTCCTACATATATCTACATCAGACAACAAAACAAGTAAGTATTTTTGTTTTTTTTTTCTTGTTTTTTAGTCCTCAGCGTTTATTGCACAATTTCAAAATTAGGGTTTTTAACAAGGAAAAATTTGCAGGAGAGATGAGGATGAAAACACAACAAGATATAAACGCGCTAGACCCTAGTAAGAATGAAACATGTGTCGTAATTTGTTTGAATGTATTCATAAGATTATTTGGTGTCTATGATTACTATGTAGTTTTTTCGGATGTATATGTAAATGGCTTGATTGTCTCTGAGAGTTATTGTGAGATTAGGACAATAATAGTTGATTTGATCGTATAGATGTTTCTATAGATGTCTTTGCAAATTCGTGTGGCTGTTGGTTTAATTGTGTGAGATAGTGTTTTTTTTTGCGTACAACATTCTAAGAATTGAGCTTGAATATATGTTTCGGGTGATTTGATTGTGTAAAATATAGTTTGGATCTCTACAAAAGTTTATGCCTTATTTCTGTAGACTTATGCAGAACAATAAATTAAGGATTAATTTATTGATGTTATAGAAAATAATGTACAAATTGTGTAAAACCACAAAATAAAATAAACACATTGTGTTCAATTTAGTGTTGTTCGTGAAATAATTGGTTGGTTGTACAATATTTCTTTTTTTCTATATGTGGATGTATATGATACTGGTGATGTCAACACTAAAATGGATATGAATAAAAATATTTATTTCATGTTTCTTAAATCAAAATTATCAAAATATTACGAGAGTTAATATTGATTTCATGAATCCCCTTCCAAATTACAAAAATATTAAAAAAACAATAATTAATACCCCTTGGACCTCAAATTTCCAAAAAAATAAAAATAAATAAATAAATAAATAATATATATATATATATATATATATATATATATATATATATATATATATATATATATATATATATATGTAGAATATGTGGATGTCTACACCATTTGTTAAAAATACAGGTACCGTGCTTTTTTGTCTAGACATTCTATTGGTGTCTACATCTTTTTGTAAACTCTCCTAAATGTGTGATTGTCTATAAGTGTCTATGTATTGTATAGACTGACCTTTCGAACATTTAAGCATTCAGGCTAGTCCACAACAAAAAAATGAGAACAACAATTGTGGTGTAATTGTGTTGTACATCATCAGGGAACATTTTTTTTTCAAGTGTCGTTGGAAATAAACGAAGCAGAGGAAGGGGTTATAGATATTAGAAGAAACATTATAGAATATCTATTTAATTACAAAATAGATTGAGCTATAAGTTCTTGTCCGTTTGTTTTTGTTTTTTGTACACAAGTGTAAACTTGCAGTGTTTTTATTGTCAACGGAATTATATGGTTATATTAACACTATTTAATGCCAATATTCAGTGCACATTTTGCCATTTATTCAGTAAGATACTTTAGTATTTGACATATACTGAAACAAGGTTAACACATTCATACTATATGGACATGCTATATGTAATATGATATATATCTAGATATCCTATAATATACTATAGTACATTATAGTATACTATAGTATATTGCAACTGTAATATACTATAGTATTCTATAGTATATTTAATTGTAATATAATGTGTAGTGGTTTACAATGGAAACTGTGTTATGTACTATAGTATACCGTAACTGTAATATACTATAGTTCTATAGTATACTTTATTGTAATATAATGTGCAATGATTTACTATGGAAACGGTGTTGTAATAGTATCTGATAATTGTATACAATCACAGTACGAATTGTCAGAAGCGCCAAAAGTTTGTATGGTTGCATTCGAGATCGAGTGTGATGCTTCCGGAGTAGGCATATGTATTGTTTTGATGGAAGAGGGACGACCAATTGCATATTTTAGTGACACGTTGAGTGGGGCAGCCTTAAACTACCCGACTTATGATAAGGAGTTGTATGCCTCGGTTCGAGCTTTAGAGACATGGCAGCATTATCTTTGGCCGAAGGAATTTATGATTCACACGGATCATGAATCATTGAAGCACTTGAAAGGACAACATAAGCTGAACAAGAGGCATGCCCGATGGATGGAATTCATGTTTATTGAAGAGCACCTCGTCGACGGGTCTCTCTAGAGAAACGCTCACTCTCCCAACCTAGTGGCGCGACAGGCCCAAAGGACGCTACAAAGAACAATACGATGTTGTATTGCATTGAAGAGCATCCTTCGAGCCGACTCGTCATCGATGTCGGACAGGAAGCGTA